ACTATCAGTTTTTAGATCAAAGGATATACACCGAGCGATTAAAGCAAAAATATATAAAACAATGATAAGACCGGTGCTTTATCATGGATGTGAAGGTTGGACGCTAAACAAGAAAGAGGAATCAGTCATCAATTCTTTCGAGAGGAAAATCCTAAGACGAATTTATGGACCAATAAAAGAGAATGGGATATGGAGAATAAGATATAATAAAGAGTTATACAAATTATATAAGGAGCCAGAGATCTCAGTGATGACAAAGCTTAAAAGATTGCAATGGGCTGGGCATGTACAGAGAATGGATAAGGAGCGTATCCCAAAGAAAATATTATACAGTACAATAGGTGGTAGGAGATGTGCTGGGAAACCAAGAACTAGATGGATTGATGCAGTGGAAGAAGATGCAAAGAAGTTAATGGGCGTAAGGAACTGGAAGAGAGCAGCACAGGATAGAGAGGAATGGAGGGGCTTCATAGGGGAGGCCAAGGCCCGGCATCAGGCTGTTGTGCCATAGAAGAACAAGAAGAATGTATGTATATATATATATGTAAACTATACAGCTTTCATTTTAAACAATTTTAAGTGTGATGTACATGCAATGAAAAGGAACAATGACTATTTTTATGCTTCTGCACTGATTATTATCCTGTCAGCAACAGGATCTATACCTGTAATATCTAATGAGTAATGGTTACATTAACTGCTGCTTGGAAGTGCTCTGTTAGCATCTATATAATATGAGAAGATCAGATTTAGATTACTGAGGTCCTGCTTGTAAAAGACGTGTGTTCACAAATCAGTGGCTACCTGTTCCATATTTAAAAAGTTAGTAATAAATTAGTAAAATTATGAAGCCGGATATAATGAACTACTGTAAATGTAATAGCTTTATCTGCAACTTGTAATCAGAAGAATGTAACAATTTTCACTTGTCCACTACACATAATTTGAAATTCTCACAGAAGTGGTTATGAACAGCTCTGTCTTCTGGGATATAATGTTATGCAAGACAGTGGTTCTCATCCTTTGTCAGACCATGGCCTGGTAAATTCTTTTTTGTATAAGATGAGGGCCTGGTACTGGGCCGCGGCCTGGTGGTTGAGAAACCCTGACATAGTCTGTTCAAAGTCAATTGACATTTCAGAACAAAGCCTGCTTCATGCTGGCTTCTTGCTTGGCTTACTCTTCAACACTGAAGACAGAGGTGACATGTTCCTCTAAAATGTCAGCTGACTTCCAATGGACTACACAACCTTATAGACCTGAAGACAGAACTCATATTTGAAGAAAGTCGTCTTCTGGGTTTAGGCACCATGTATTCTTCATTTTGGCCGACGTTTCGGAGGAACGTATCGCCTCCATCTTCAGAGCAGATGAATGGCTTGGAATGCAGAGAGCAGTAGCTGTCGGCCAAAACGAAGAATACATGGCGCCTAAACCCAGAAGACGACTTTCTTCATAGTCATCGCCATGAAAACCTCAAAACTTACATAGAACTCATATTTGTTCACTGTTCTACTCCAAGAATCCCTCAAAATGTACTTTCAGGAAGAAAAAGGATAAAGCTATCCCTGTGATTAAATAGTTATGCACAACACCATGAAAACATATGGGGGAGTGGAGGTAGAGCTCCACCGTTCTTGAAGATGGTGCCAGATGGAGGGTAGAGATCAGCTTCACATCCTCACAACTTTACCCCTAGGGAAAGAGCACCAGGTACCCATTGGATGGAAGGTCGGATGAGCCCCAGAGCCATTCTAGATGCTATGGAGAAGAAGAAATCTTTTGCCCCTGACAGAAATCTAACCCCAGCCATCCAGTCCATAGCCCAGCACTACACAGACTGAGCAATCTTGGTTCATGCGTTTACAAGAATGAAAACACAATTAATTATAAGATTAATAAATAAGATCTAAAAGTTTGTGACAATGGTACATGCATACAAATATTATGTTTTTGGACATTATCCATTGTCTTGTCTTTATCTAAAAACCATCCTGTTTATTTTTCAAAACACAACATTTCAGAGACTGGATTCTTTCTCCATCTTCAGGTAAAACCTAATCAGCTGGATCCAATCGACAGAACCATTCCCTATCTCTAGACCTTTTACATTTTTTTCATCTTCAGGTAAAACCTACTCAGTTGAGTCCAATCGATAGAGCTAGTCCCTAACTCTGGACATCTGTGCCAGCTCCAAGATGGGCTACATAAATCAAACACAGCATAATCCACCTGCAAGAGCTAAGAAAACGTTGAATTATTAAAACTACACACATATGAAGCCTTGCACCAGAGAAGTATCTCAATTGAAATCATCACTGGAGAGAAGCAATACTCCTTATGGTACCAAAATTCTTCCCACTCAAACTACACTTGACAGAGCTGTAATTTCTTGACTTCTGCTGTGATAAATGGGGGCCAGATGGGAGAGATGTCCAGAGATAAGGATTAGCTCTATCGAATGGACTCAACTAAGTAAGTTTTACCTGAAGACAGAGACAGAACCTAAACTCTGAAACGCTGTTTTGAAAAATAAACAGGATGGCTTTCAGGTAAAGACAAGACAATGGGTAATGTCCAAAAACATAATATTTGTAATAAGATTAATAAGACTGAATTCTGATCGCCAACACAACTTTAAAATAATTATTTGTTAAATTTAAATTTAAAAATTTAAAGGATACAACTAAGCATATATGTATCTATTAGTAATATTGCCCTTTGCTGTGTCAGGGCAGACACTAAAATAAGAAAAATGCCTTATTCTAAAAGGCCAATTCATACACTCCTGCTTTCCAAATTTTCAACATTGCATTACACTTCTAAAATTGTGAAGAAATGCTTCTTTGTCATTATTATTATTATTATTATTATTATTATTATTTTGTCCACCATATATCCATAAGGATTACAATTCCAGCGGATGTAGTTACCGTCATTAAGTATATGCAAATATCTGTGCAATAGTGCACTCGTCAACAACATACATAACAAATTGTATAACATGCTAATAAAACAAATAAAAAATATACTAACCATCCAGAAAAGTTATAAAAGAAACAAGTACAATTCAGTATTATGCTTAGAAGTAAAAATACAGTGATATTAATACACTCTGCAAAGATACATTATCAACTGTGCAATAGGGCACATTGTCCAAATGTATTAAAAAGGGGAACACACATCACGAGACACGATATACATGGAGTATAAGAGGAACGACTCCCATAGTGGAGAAACCATGCATGGGTTTGAATTGGGACATATAAGATGAATATCTTAATAAGATTTTAGTGTATAAAAATTTATCATAATTGACGAATATTTTTAAATATTTTTTAAATAATTTTACAATGACATAATGGCAAGCAATGCAATAGATTAATGTAAATGGAGCACCTGATGATGGCACTATGTTGCTGAAACATGTGAAATAACAGGTGAAACTGAGTGCACTACAAGACGGACATGGCATACATATCATGGACAAAAAAAAAAGAGATATACAGATTGTTTTTATGCTAGAAACAAATTACAACAATATACTCCATGAGGCACTTGTCTAACAGAGAGAGGTACAGATAAACATACCAAAAAGTTAAAAGAGCTAAAAAAGATATGTAAACTTCAACATCTATGTTTTGAGAGTTTGATAATTAAAATACTCTTTCAGTAAGTAGTAAGAACCAGCATACAAGAATCTCTTTAAGGCTGCCCCAAAAGATTTTTGATCATTAGATAATTCTTTGAGTTTCGCAGGTAAGTGATTAAAGATCTTTATGCCTGAGTAATAAGCTCCCCTTTGAACTTTGGTCATAGAAACACTTGGGGGATATAAATTGTTNCACGTTTTTATTTTCTGTCACACTACATGTTTCGACCTCAAGAGGTCATCCTCAGGTGTACGAACACAGTTGCACAATCACACGCAATCACATTCGTTTTTCCACTTATTTTATCCTGTATCCTGTTCAGGTCCACGCTCAATAATGTGTGTCAAGTTCTTCTTATAAAATATAAGTTAAAAATACAAATGTTAAAAGTTAAAATTTAAAAATTTTGTGCAACTGTGTTCGTACACCTGAGGATGACCTCTTGAGGTCGAAACATGTAGTGTGACAGAAAATAAAAACGTGTTGTGTGGTCGGTAAAATTAACTCTAATATTTATTATTTACAAGGTACTGCATTAGGGAATACACGTATTGAGAACACAAAGGTAAAATTTTCATATCCCGGAATGAATCCCTGCACGAATCTCTTTTCTTCAAGCCCTTCATTATTCTTATTACCCTTTTTTGTATCCTAAAAATTTTTATACTATATGGAGAATTACCCCAAAAAATAATACCATAAGTCATGATGGAGTGTATGTAAGCAAAGTAAAGCATCCTCAGACTGCTGTAGGACAAGATGGGTTTAACTGCCCTCATTATAAAGCATGCTAAGCTTAGTTTAGAAATGAGACAGTCAATATGATTTTTCCAAGTTAATTTGTTATCGATATATAAACCCAAAAATTTAATGCAGTTAGAATTGACTACTTGTTTATGCCTGAAACTAATGTAGTTGTCTAATTCGTCATGGTTCATTGTTGTAAACTGCAAGTGGTAAGTTTTTTTTAAGTTCAGAGTTAACAAGTCAGATTTAAACCATTTATTAAACTCGTGGAATATTTTATTCATAATTGAAATTAATAATTATTAATTGTAGCAATGAATTGAAAACTTCACATCCAAATTTTCCTACCAATATGATTCACTCACAGACAGAATCCTGTACTTAATATTACTGTTTTTTGGGTTGCGACTCAGTGTAGTCTGACAGATAGGTATCAAAGTTTAAGACTAACCCAGTGCCTCCATCTTCAGGATATGTGAATGGAAGCAGCAGGTTCCTCTGAAGCACTGACAACCATCTACCAGGCTACATGGTGTCACATCCCTAGCATACACACACATATATTTCCACTCATAATAAAATAATTTTACACATACTGACCCTGATAATACCCTGATTAGAAGGGGGAGGAATCATGTCTCCTTTCTCTGGTAGTTCTCCTTTCTTCTTTTTCTTCTTTGAGTCAAAGACTGATCCACTGCAAATGCTGTTTATTGCTACTGCCCGGTATCCTACTAACATTAAAATGAAACAAACTGCATTATGCTTGAGGTTTATATATCGGCACAAGCTATGTGCATTTGGGTTTGATTTCCTTCACAACACAGTTGAACAATCTATGAATAAAGATAAAGGTTTTTAAAGATGTTATGTAATACTTTAAGAACTGCAAGGTATCCATATATCCAAGTATGAATACAGGAATTCCCATCTCTGGGCATGTATGTCCACACCGAGGGGCCTGTAAACTCCTCCTGTCCATAGATGATGAGCCATAATAAAAATAGTTCTCAGAATACAAGCATTATATGAAAATTATCTCCCAAAAGGCAAAATATTAGGTGCACAAGAAAGACATAAAAAATCCACAAAATGTTAAATAAATCAAACATTGCTTTACTGGCAGTTCTTTCTTACGTTCATTCTGGTAGCCTCTGATGCTCAACATATGGGACATTTCAGAGTCATTAAGAATGGAAAGGTGTACTCCACTACTCTCAGAGTGCGTTTAACAATTCTGAATATCTCAATGAGTGTACTGTTCATTTACTGCAAATATAGGCTTTAATGACACAGGTAATTAACATACAATACTACAATGTAGAGGAATATGAACATACACACATACACAGCATCTGAAATTGTTATAGATTAAAATGTGAGAATGTGCCATTTTTTTAATTTATTTATATATTTTATATAAAAGAAATAAAATAATAATGGATGACTGATTTAAATAAATGGGTAAAATGCACCAAAATTTTCTGAGCTGTCCACAAAGCCTCAATGTGTAATGTATAATAAATAATTAGTTACAGTGTTTGTTTAGCTTTGTATTGTCTTTCTGCTTTGTTTGTTTGTGTTATGCTTGTGAACAGTTTCATGTCCATTATATTTTGGACTTGCGAAATGTGATATATATGTATGTATCAAATTTCATCAACATTTGTCACATGGTTTCATAAATTAGAACTATGACCACACAACATTTCCATTATACATTTACTTTATGTACTTAATGTGAAACATGCTTAAAAAACAATTACCTTCTCAAGTTGGGAGAAACTGTTAATTCTGCAGGAGGTGAACACAATCTTTTGTCTCCCATACAAAACCTAAAGATTAAAATTAACTAGGCTGGATCTGAGGTTCTCACAGCGGTGGTTATGAAGAGTTCTGTCTTCTGGGATATAGCGCCGTGTAGGATCTGAGGTTCTCACAGCGGTTATGAAGAGTTCTATCTTCTGGGATATAGCGCTAGTTAGGACCTGAGGTTCTCATAGCGGTGGTTATGAAGAGTTCTGTCTTCTGGGATATAACGCCGTGTAGGATATGAGGGTCTCACAGCGGTGGTTACGAAGAGTTCTATCTTCTGGGATATAGCGCTGTGTAGGATCTGGGGTTCTCACAGTGGTGGTTATGAAGAGCTCTGTCTCCTGGGATATAAACCATGTAATGCACTGAAAGTTAACTGATGTTCTGGAGGAACATATCACCTCCATTTACAGAGTCGGAGAATATGGCAAGCAAGAAACTAGTGTGAAATCTGGTGGCAAGGAGAGCCTGCTTTCTCACTGGTTTCTAGCTCAGCTTATTCTTTGACCCATAAGTTGTGATATGTTCCTCCAAAATGTCAAATGTCTTTCAATGGACTACATGGGGTTATATCCCAGAAAACAGCATTTTTTACAATAAACTAAACTATAATTATGTAAGATTTGAGGCTTTCACGGCGGTGACTATGAAGAAAGCAGTTTTCTGGGATTTGGCACCACGTATATGTGGTGTTAACCGACGTTTCGGAAGAACGTATCGCCTCCATCTTCAGGGTAGAAGAAAAAATATAAGAAATCTGCAAGCGAAGAGACCGTGAGAAACGGTAAAAGCTTTTACAGAGGCGATATGTGCCTCTGAAATGTCGGTTAACACCACATATACACGGTGCCAAATCCCAGAAAACTGCTTTCTTCTTAAACTATAATTATTCCTGCCACTTTATATAACTTTATGAAACTTGGTCTTTCACCAAGAGAAGAATAGAGACTGAATGTTTGAGAATAAAGGTTCAAGGAGGATATCTAAACCTGAGAATGGCAGGTAACAGCACAGTAGAGAAAATTAGATAGAAAAGAGCTTAAAAATGTGTGCTCTTCACTAAATATTACTAAGGTGAACAAATCACATCAAGGATACACACTGATGATGGGTGAGATGAGGAATTTGCATAAAATTCTTGTCCAAAATCATAAAGGAAGAAGCCCATTTGGGAGAAAACTCATAAGCATAGATGACAGAATACAGAAAAATGGGGTGTGACCTCGATTCAGCAGTCTCAAGACAGGTTTCAGCAACTCACAAACTTGGTAATGTGGGCTCTTTCCATGAAAAAAGTGTCTCCACTCACATCCATTTAGTGCCAAAGTTAAAGCTGCGCTGAAATTTTACCCTTGACCCCTATATGCTTCTTGACTGTCCTTTGGGCCCCAATCAACTTTATCTTTATAGAATAAACATACAATGCGTCGATTAAACAGTCTGCCCAATTAGCATACTCCAACGTTCATGGCGCCGTTCACAGTGGCCGCGCGGTCTAAGGCATGAAATGTCTTCGCTAGCTCGAATGCTGGGATCATGGGTTCGAATCCCACCCAAGGCATGGGTGTTTGTTTATGTTTATTCTGTGTTTGTGTTGTCCTGTGTGGGTAGCGGCCTTGGGACGGGCTGATCACTGCTGCAAGGAATCCTACTGACTGTCTAAGATTATGAAATTGAAGTGAAACGAAATGCTTCACGAATGCCCTATGTACCATGTAGGAGTAACAGGAATAAAGATAGATGGGTAGAATATTCAAGATAGTCGGATTTCGGTTTTCTCGAAAGAAAAGGCGCGATTAATATTTATGTTCAAATATAAGATGAAATAATGACAAAACAATTACTTTTATATCAGCCAGTTCCACAGATTTGGGAGAATGAAATTATTTTTAGATGTAGAGTATGAGGTAAACCTGTTTACTTACAATCCAGCAACGCCTGACATGTATCCTTCACTAAAGTCTTGTTCTCTCCATTCGCAACGTTAAAATCACAAAATCCACGCACGCTAATCACTTTCATGATTTCATAATTCTTCACTTACTTTACACAGTCAACCACAGGATCAATAAACGCAGGCAACCCGTTAATTATCGGAAAGATACACAACATGTAAGACTTCAAGACATAACACCTGCAACACGCCACATGCCATACAGACAGAAACGCGACATCGCGGTTCGCGATGTTCGCCGTAATCTACCATTGCAATTCTAATTCACAAAAATTTCCAATGACGTCACACCCTCGATCCCTCGATCAACAGAACCAATTACAATACCGTGCCTACTTTAACATTATTGGTGTGAGACATGCAGCCACCGCAGCTCAGTCGGTAAGAAGGTGAGCTATTATCCCACTTATACCGCCCCGTCCCCATAACAACACGGTCATCTTCAGCCCTCAGCCCCCTGGGGAAAATTCCACCGGTACCCATTGGATAGGAGGCTGGTTGGGCCTTAGAACTGGTCTGGATGCCCTTACCAGGACCTGAATTTCAACCCCTTAGCCATCCATCCTGTAGCCAGTGCTATGCCAACTGCACTATACTGACTACAATTTTGCATTACTTAGTTATTTATTTTCTGTATCATTAATGCATCTTTTGTAAATGGCTGCACAGTTATTGCAACACGGCCATAGTTCATTCACCACTCATTCTTGTTTTCAAAATATGTTTCAGCCTTACATGGCCATCTTCAAGTACATCTTATGCTCTAAGTTGTTTCATTGATTGTCTTATTGAGGAAGGCTCCAATTGAAATTAAAGTTGAAAGTTAAAAATTAATTTGCATATGCTAGTGAGTGAAACAAAAGTGGAACATCATGTGACATGATAAATCTGCAAATGAACATGTAAGATTCAGACATATTGTATGTGTATTAATAAGAAGTGAACGAAATATGAAAGCAAAGCATTAACTACACAGTCATTTATGTAATACACATTAATTTATAAGACTGAAAATAAATAGCTAAGTAATTAATCAATGCAACAGGTTACTCAAATATAATTTTAATAATTTTGCAATCCTGTACATGGACTTGCTCCATTTATAAAGGCTAGTCGTCAGAACTGATTTAACCAATATTATCTGATTCATATCACAGCAAGGTTTCTCAGCAGTTCCTTCAAATAAATACAAAAGTTTCATGCACGTAAATCAAAAACCCCTTACTGAAAGGAACTGGAGCATTTTTACTTACATAATGTGTATGAAAAATTAATTTTCATATGTGTAGAGACAGGTGAACTTTGGTAAACTTGAATGAAGAATGTTTCCATGGTATATACTGGTATTCAACCTCACCTGTGAAGGATACATAAGTCACAATCTTTCAGTTACTTCAACATATTACACACAGAACCTCAAAACTCTTGCAAGTACGCAATCATTTACATGTCACCATACCACAACAATATTAATGCAGAATGTACATGGCACAATAATCTCAATTCAACAACATATGACATTACTAAAGTACTATAAATATACTGTGACATGTTGCGCTATGGATGGCGCCCCTCCCTCCCGCCAGCCGTGACGTACCGAGCAGAGCCGAAGTGAGCTGAGTCCCAGCACACTGGTCACTATGAAACGTGAGTAAACAGCAGTTGCTAGTCAAAGCAAGTAAACAGCGGTGACGTAACGCGGGACGCCGCAGTTGCCATGCAGCCATAAACAACTCCCAACAGCGTTGCTAGGCTTTCGGCACACACAGCATCAGACAACAGTGGTGCCTATCATGTAACTGTTTTCCCGTTGTCCGGCTGAGGGTTTATAAGGGAACTACACAGCCGCCAAAGACAGTTCTCAAGGCAGCTGCCTACGAGTTGAGTTGGACTCTAGCCAGCAGAGAGTTACAAGTTGAACTGAATTGTAGTAGTCACCGATTTCAGTTGTAACGAGTGAATCGTGATAGTGTGAAGAGATTTGGTTGTAGGGTTTGTAAAGTGTGGAAACCCATAACATTGTTATAATGAATTGTAGCCGATACTTGTAGTTGTTAAATAAACAAATTAACAATCTGAACAGAGTCTTCAGTGGTTAAACACATCCATTGCCTCATACCTGGTTTGATAGCCCAATGTCCAGAGTCCTTAAACTTGAGCCTACAAACACATGATGAGATTAAAACTGCTTCATAGCTATTGTTCAAATTAGAGAGACCATCCCAAAAACGTGCCTACCAAATCCAGCCTTCAGTAATACTGACCCACAATAAATCATAATTTACATAAAGGTGAAAAAGGTAAAGTTGTCCCTGTGCTTAACTAATTAAGCAGTAGGCCATAAAGACGTATGGGGGAGTGGATGTATAGATCCACATTTTCCTGACCTCAGTAATAGCTGAAGATGAGTGGTCAGCCTCATGCACTGGCCACTTTACCCCTGTGGAAAGTGCCCATGGCAACCATTGGATAGGAGTTTGGGTGGACCCCAGAGCCGGTCTGGGTGATGTGGAGAAGAGGAAGTTCTTGACCCGACCGAGACTTGAATTCGGATCCCTTGGTTGTCCAGCCCGTAGCCACTTGCTATACCGACTACGCTTTCCTGGCTCCAAATCACAATTTATATAAGGACTTCAATGGAGTGTCCCACTTATCCCTTAAACCCACAGATTCTGCTGACATTTTATATGGGAGAGTTTCACAAATTTGATTATTACTATTATTATTCATTATATTATTTTTTTAAAACTCTTGGTCTCTGAGTGCCTGGTCAGTATCAGTGACTCTGCATTGTTCAGTGTCTCCTCATGTAAAACTGTCCCTCTGCTAGATGTGCACAGCTGCTAATGTTGTTTGCAGAGATGCTGTCATATTCGGAGCAAGGAATGTTCTCCTCAATCGTTTTTATAACATGGTATAATTGTTACTATTATTATTTGCACGAACACAAATTAGAATTTAACTGAATTATTATTATTTTGTCTGTTTCCTTATATGCATTAATGTGTTTTTCCTCCAATGCTTACCTTTAAATAGTCTTTTGACTATATGTTGTGTTTGTCCAGTATGTAAGTACAGGTATTTCTATCTACACTGTGCTGTGTCTGTAATTGGCCTTGTGGCTATTGGCTCAGCACATAAATAATAAAGAACTTAATTATTATTTTTTTTCTTGGAATTATCATTAATTTATTGTGATTATATAGGCTGTCCCCCCCCTCTATATTTTATACTGTCTATACTCGTTATACTCGTTGGTGTCTTATCGTGGTGAGGGGGTTTGAGTATGCTAAGGACCCTGAGAGCTATACCAGCGGCAGCGTAGCTACTGGCAGGGCCTCCCTTGCTGGACAGGTCAAAGGGTAGGCATCAGACGAAGAGAGACACCAAAAACTGATGCCGGAAGCAGCGTCATCAGTAGCGACTTGAAGCACAGAACAAATGATGCTCAAGATGGTTCAAGTTCGTATAGCAACAGGCGTGACCAGAGTGGTTTGAACGGCTGCTGTACTGCGATGTGGAAAGCAAATGGAAAAACTACCACATTATCACTTTTCCTGGATAGTCTCTTTCCAAAAACAGAAGATCGCATTAAGTGGAGGAACTGTTCTGGAAGAGATTGTGGACCTGTCGTCTGACAGATTACTGATGAATGAATGAATAGGCTGTCTTATTTTGTATTTTGTTTTATAGTTATTTTCGTCTTTCTACATACTTGTGCTAACTTTGTAATTGGCCTCTGTGCTGTTAAGTGTGCATGTAAATAACAACTGAATAATAATAATAATAATTATTATTATTTACCTAGAGTATGAATATTCTAAATTATCACTACAGACTTAGATATTCCTTTATATTGCAAACAGACTGTATTAACTATCAGGGCGTTCATACAAACTGTAAACTTCATTTTCACCATCATGTCAATATTCTATTTTCATATGCACTGAAATTACTGGGGTTAATTCGCACAACAGCACTTTCCTTTTCCACCTTAGACAGTCTACTGATGCTATATTTTGCTCTGGTCAGATCTAAATTCAAATATGCTTCTGTTGCTTGGAGCTCTGTTATGATTACTGTCTCCAATAAACATGAGCACATACAAAGAAAATTTGCAGCCCTTTGCCATAACAATTTTTTTAAGACACAGAATATCACCATAATTTATTGGACAGATTAAATTTGCTGACAATGCATAACAGGCACTATCAGTTTCAGGCTTTGTTCTTAATAAACGTCTTTAGTGGCACTACATGTCACCCCACCCCCCTAATTGAAACAGCATGCGTGTCCTACTCGGAACGTTTGTGACTTCACCATGTTCACTTCTTTAGTGGCAAATGCAGTTCGCAAACAAACAGATATTTTTAGTAACTCATTTTTAAATGTAAATAACCTTAACTGATCAATTTTTCTCTTTGTGGTGTTGACTTAATGCCATTGCTCTTTGTATTCATGCTGACTCTAATTGGACAGTGACTGTTGGTCTCAGTATGTAAATAAATAAAGAACTGAACTGAATTGTTAATAATAATAATAATAATAATGTGACATGTCAAACCGTTGTTGGGCAATGGGATATGTAACAAGGTTACACAACAGTAAGGAAAGCGGTGTTTGTCCATGCCGTGCCAAAGCACACTTGTTGCTACGCAGCACTGCAGTAAACATCTCTTGGCAGCACTGTCCAGCAACACCTCTGTAAACACGGCGATTACGCGACAATGAAGCGAGGTGCATTTTCCGCTATCCAAATGAGGGCTTATAACAGAGACTGGAATAACTAAGGAGCCAGTTCGTATTCGGAGTATACGGTAGAGCAGAAGTCAGTCAGTTGCGGGAAGAATAACACGTGATTAGAAGATTTTATGTGCGATACTTAGTGATAGTGGTGATAACTGAGAAGGTATTGGGTGTGTGTAATACAGTGAGACTTGTATAGCTCCCATGTTGTACTGTGAATAAGTGAAGACTACTGAAGATAGTGTGAAGAAATTAGTGCGTAGGGTTTGTAAATTGTGTAAACCCATAGTAGTGTTATAATTGTATGTGGTTACGACTTGTAGGTTGTTAATAAAACCGATTAACAATCTGGATGACATCATCAGTAGCCTAAACATGTTACAACAACAACAACAACAATAATAATAATAATAATAATAAACTTCATACACAATTTCATTCAATATTATCCTCTAAAGAAGGCACAAGGTAGCGTAGTTAGTTGAGGGGCTATGCTACAAGCCGGAAGGTCG